ACCCATTTTCTTTTTTTTTTTTTTTTGGTTTTTCTTTATACAGAGAGGATAGATATATATGTAGAAATTCACACATGAGGTTTTTTTAAAAAATTATTTACGGGAACAGATTATATAATGCAAGATGTAATGAACAGATACTCTGAAGAAGAGACACTAAGAAACCCAATGCTAATTTTGTAGCTTTATGATATAAATTCTAGCAATACTATTATTCACTGTTCAGAGTGATATTTGTCTAGTCTCTTAAGTTCAATTTCAGCATATGTAAAAATAAGGACAGCTACTACAAAGAGAATAAGAGATGCAATGGTAGTTATTGTTGTCTTCCCCAATGTTAGATCTTGAAGACCTAAAAAGCCTTCATCATCCTGTAATGATTTGATTTGTTCTATAATGTGCAATATGTATTTAATGTGCGTGAAGATGGGGACAACTATTTGTAAGAGACTAGAGACAATTAGATAAACAGTGAAGATCTCTAGTGGACTTGCTTTGAAATCCGTATTTCTTTAAATTGTTTTTTTAACTGTTTTGTTCTGTTTTGATATGTTTAATCTTACCCTCTTTGAGATATAAAAGAAGTGTGTAGGACTGATAACCATATTACTGAGTTTTTATTCGATCATTGAACAGAGCTGTTTGCAGTGTCACTTTTTGAATGTCATTTTACATACTTTAATTTTGTAACCTGGGATGACAATGTGTAACTTATCAACTAGCGATTTCTAACAGTTTATTTTTCTGTAATTTTGTATTATTTCTACTTTTTTATCTCCATGTATTTTTCTTTCCTTTTCTTTAAATAAAAAATAAAATAAATTTAGTTTTAAAAAGAAGACACTACAGTACCCAGTGCTGATCACGGAGTGTCATGATGTGAAATCCAGCAATACTATAATTCTTTGTTCAGAATAATTTTAACCTGCTTTAGTTTGTTTAATCTAAACATAAATGAAGATATGGATAATTGCATGTATGTTTAAATGTATAGGATTGACAACCATATCACTAAGTTTTTGTTGGACAGTTGATTAGAACTTTTTGCAGTCTGTTTGAATTCCCACTTTACATGTTCCATTTTTGTACCTTGAACAACTATTTGTAAAACGACAACATCAACTACAGATTTCTTACTGTTTTTTTCTCTGAATGTATGTACTATTTCTACCTATTTTTTGTTTTGTTTAATCTTTCTTTAAATAAAAAAAAAGAAGATACAAACACAACTACAAAGACACTCAGCTACCTTATATTTGACAAAGGGGTTAAACATGTTCACTGGAAGGAGGATAGCCTCTGTAATAAACAGTGTTGGAAAAATTGGCTTTCCAAATGCTGAACACTGAAACTAGACCCATGTCTATCATCATACACTAAACTAAAGTCAAAATGGATCAAAGATCTAAATATTAAAACAGAAACACTAAATCTGCTGGAAGACAAGGTAGGTATAAATCTTGAAGACATAGGGATAGGCAAACAATTCATGAACAAAATGCATGGGAAGTACTTCAAATAGTCAGCAACTGGGATCTCAGCTTATTAAAAGTTTTTACACTTCAAAAGAAATCACCAACAAAGTGACAAGAAAACCTACAGGATGGGAATGAATTTTAGCCAGCAACCCCTCAAAGGACTTATATCCAGAACATACAAAGAATTGAAAAACATCAAGCCCCACCCAATTCAAAGATCTTCTACAAAAATGGACATCTGAGATGAACACACATTTCTCAGATGAAGATATACAAATGGCAAATAAATACATGAAGAAATGTTTACCATCACTGGTCATTTGAGAAATGCAATTTAAAACAGCACTGAGATTTCATCTCACTCCAGAAAGAATCGCTGCTATCAAGAAATCAACCAATAACAAATGCTGGTGAGCCTGTGGAAAAAAGGAACACTTTTCCACTGTTGGTAGGAGTGTAGACTGCTGCAGCCACTGTGGAAATCAGTATGGATATTACTTTTTAAAAAATTAGGATTTGAAGTTCCATTCAATCCAGCTATTACCCTCCTGGGTATTTCCCCAGAAAAATTGAAAAGGTCATGTCACAGTGATATATTTGCACCCATGTTTATAGCAGCACAACTTGTAAAAGTTAAATCTTGGAAACAACCAAAATGCCCAACAACAGCAGAACAGATGAAAAAGATGTGGTATTTTTTGTACAATGGAATTTTACCCATCTATAAAAATGGGTGACCTTGTGGCTTTTATATGTAAATGGAAGCAACTTGAGACTATCCTCTTAAGTGAAATAAATCAGACTCACATTTGTAAATATCATATTATCTCCCTACTACAAAAAGTAATAAAAAACAGAAATAGTAATAAGATCAAAAACACATAATAGATATTGTAATAATGAAAGGCAAAGAAAGTACTCTAAAGAATATAACTGTATGTATGGTTAATTGTGCAAGATAGATAACCATACTACTAAGTTTTTGTTAGTACTTGGAACGGAACAGTTGTACTGTCATTGTTTGATTGTCCACTTTTTATGCTTTGATTTTTAACTTGATCAACCACTTCTAAGTTAACAATATATAGTTCCTCAACTAGTGATTTCTTAGTTTTTTTTTTTTTTTTTAGTTCTGTATTCTACCCTTAAAAAAAGGAAGGTACAGGAATTCATAAAGGATATATTCAGGGAGGAGTAGTTGTAGGGTTTCAAGACAGAAAATCAATATTAAAGTGTGACATTCTGTAATCCATTTTAAAGTGAAATTTGTGAAATCTTATCTGAAGTTTGAACCCTCCTTCCAACTGACATCTTCCACCACTGTTAATGGTATGATATTATAAATTCCCTATTTCTGGACAGTACTAATTTTGAACATTCTTTGTGATGAGCATGTTCCAATTTTGAAGTGAGTTGGGCTAGGGATTTAGCTCAGTGGCTTAAGTGCCTGCCTGGCAAGCATGAAGTCATGAGTTTGATCCCCGACACCAAAAACCAAACCAAACAAAAACAAAAACAACCAAACAATTTTGAGGTGAGAAAATATGGGCATCATTGTTAACAGAAGTGTAATTTTCATCAAATTTCCCTTCTCTCTGGATCCTGGAATATGCAAGTTTCCTAATCCAATTCTTGTCCTCTGATTTCATTAATTATAGTACAGCATAGTACTGGTTGTCAATTTCTCTAAGGATAGAAATTCTTCAGGAATGTCTAATCAAAATGATTTTTAAATAAATTTAATTTCTTAGTACAAATCCTATATTTTGAAAGATTTCACAGCATTGTAATTTGAACTACAAATTTAATTGAAATTCTATTCAAAAAAAGAGGATGAAAAAGGGATTCAAATAGTTGCCCGCATGGCAACACTTTCCGCAACATTCTTCACCATAGGCAACTTGGGGAAACACCCTAAGCGTCCCTAATGGATGAATACCTAAATAAATGTGGCTCATAAATACACTTGAATGTTAGCCATGAAAAACAAAGTTCTGATGCCAGTTCCAACATGGGGAAACCTGAAAAAAAGCAAGAACCACAATGGCACCTGTTTATGTAGTTTAATTTATATGAAATACCTAGAATCCCAGAGGCAAATTCAGTAGCTTAGAGGCTACCAGAGGCTGGGTGGGAAGGGATGAGAAGTTACTCATTAATGGCTAGACTTCCAGTTCAGGTATGAGAAATTCTGGATATTGCAGCAATTATTATAAACATAAATGTAATTAGGGGAATTTATATTTTTAAAATGTTTAGGACAGCACATGTTGGTCATCTATCATTTGCAGTGATATTTTAAAGTCTCTGCAAGGCTAGATGGCACACACCTGTAATCTCAGCCCTGTAGAAGGCCAGGGCAGGAGGACCTCAAGCTTGAGCTGAGCCTAAGAAATGTAAGGTAACCGTGTCTCAGAATTTGGAATGGCGTAGAGATATAGCTCAGTGCAAAAGCTCTGGGTTCATTCTCCAGCACCAGCCAATAAAAATATTTAAGAAAGATATATCAAACACATGTAAGATGGCCAGCAAAACAGGTGCATGCTTGTCATGCCCTCACTTGGGAGGTTGAGACACAAGGATCACTGCAGGCCCCAGGCCAGCCTGAACTGCATAGAGAAATGCTGTCTCAAAAGGACAAACAAGAAACAAAATAAATAAAAATGCAGCCTCCTCAAATACTCAACTACTAATCTATACTTACAATATAGACCCTTCAGGTCCAAAGATTTAGAGACAGGAAGAACTGAGGCAGTAGGAGATCAGGTGACTCTGGGCAATGCCATCTGTCGAGTAAGATTTCAGGAACGCCTTCAATATCTAGGTGGATGGACTGAACTATGGGTTGGGCCTGTCTATGTCCTCCCTGGATGGCCTCTCCCAACTGCCTTGCTGACTCTGCTGTGGTCACCCTGCCCCCTTACTCTATGGGTCATTGCAGAAGTGTGCAGGCTGCATTAACACCCCTGATAAACCAAGGTCCTCAGACATGCAGGAAGGAGTAGGTGGGGCATGGGAGGTTCCTGGCAGGGTTTCTGGGGCAAGGGATGGAAATCAGGATACATTTCTACCTCCTGAGTGCAAGCCAAGCTCACATTCAGGGAAGTCCTTTCCTGAGTGTGAACTGTGTGTTGCAGAGTTGCCCCAGAGGCCATGAGGAGACCTGCCCCAGTGACTGCCCCATCACTGCTGATTCTTCCAGGGAACAGAGGACCCTGTGCATGGAGGAACCCGCAGAAGGTCCAGTCTGGACGAGTCCACAGCAGCCCTGCCAAGGTGCAGATACAGATTCTATTGAGACAGCCTCCAAACAGAAACTCACAGTCATTGTTCCCAGTGATCACATGAGAACTTTTGGGCCCTGTCACTCAAGCCACTGTGCCAAGAGCCTTCCCTTTCACAGTGATATGCACGCTGTGTCACCAGCCCATGCGACAACCTCCTCCAGGGAGCTTCCTCCCTGGGTCCCTGGCAACTGACCCAGAAGTTTCCACCTTAGACCCTTTGTGAGTAATAGGGCGGGGCAGCTGCCTTTGTCTCTGGGAAGACCAGGGTCACAGGAGCTTAGGGCACAGCATTGAGCCCTCTAATGGACGCATCCTTCCAGAGGTACAAAAGGGCCAGGGGAGGGGAGAGGTGAAGCTGGGCTTGGGCTCTGCAGGGCAGCTGCAAAGTATACAAGGGAAATGAGGGAGAGGGGACTGGAGTAGGTGAGCCAAGGGAAGAATGGGAAAAAGCAGGATGAGGGGAGGATATAGGTAGGCAGGGGAAGGGTGCAGAGCAGGGTTCAATTTCTGCTGATATTTGGGGCTGCTCATCCTTGTGAGGCTACCTACCTCTTGTGGGGTGTTCAGCAACAAGAGGAGATTCTGTCCAATAAGTGCCAGGAGCACTCCCTCTCTCAGGTGTGACAATCAAAAATATCTTGAGACACTGCCAAATGCCTTTGGAGGGCAAAACCCAGCCTGGTTCAGACTCACTGATGTCCTGAAGCCCAATGGGATGGGGGCAATTACCAGACACCAGGAGTTCCAAAGTGGCAGAATAGAATGACCTCACTATTTTAGGAATCAATCAATCTGTCTATAGATTTCAACAAAAATGCTATTGAGGAGTCTTTGATTCTTATACAAAAAAAAAAAAAAAACCATTAGCTAGTCACCGTTTCCTCTTTAAGAACTTACTGCTGTGCTACAATAATAAAATGACATGGGAATTGCATAAAGATTTGAAATGGATCCAGGATCATTCAGAGATTAATCCTTGACAATGTTGCTCACATGATCTCTGACAAGTGCATCAAAGGAGCTTAACGGGAAGAAGAGTCTTTTAATATTCAGTGAGAGCCAGTTGGAATCTGGTCAGCCTCCTTGGCGCAGCACCTCACACTGGCTATGAGTCCCCTCATGCCCTGCAGGGGGCGGCATCAGCACACACAGTACACACTCAGGAAAACAGTTCCTGGAAACTAAATTTAGCTTAGGCTTGGGAGCAGATGCAGGCTGATTGCCATCCTTGGTCCAAAGGGTACTTCTGGGTCCCTCCCACATGTGTGCTTTGTCCCAACCACTCCTTACTGGAACTCTGAGGACCCATTTATGTCAAGAGCTTCAGCATAGCTCCTCATTCCTGGCAGCACCCTTGGGGTAAGAGAAGGTATGAACACAGATGACTCAACAGAACAGAGGATAGAGGCCAAGCAACTCACTCAGGGAGGATACAGGTCACACCTCAGCACAGACTTGTAGAAAGGTGCACTGTCCCGGAAATCTGCCACCAAGAACAATGTTTCCCACAGCCATTATTGCCCTGCCTTCTTCCTCCCCAGGACATGCGGGTCATTTCCATCCCTGCCCATCAACAACTTCAGCTCCTCCTGAAACATCTAATTAGAGATCAACTAGTGACACCAGAGATACAGGGTAAGTTCCCCTCACCACTCATCACTCTCCATCCCCTAGAGCCATTTCTTTCACCTTTCTCCAGGCAGCAAATTCTACCTGCCCAGACTGCACAAAAACCCAAGGAAGGACTGATGCCCAGCTGGATTTCTATATACCAAAGGGAAACACAACTCTGGATTTGGGAAGCCCAGAAACTCCCTTCGATGGTGACATCAAGATAAGGACAGTGCAAAGGCCAGTAAGGAGTTGAACCAGTTCTTACCTTGGGTGACAGAGTCTCTTGTACTCAAAGTAAGGTCTGTGGGAATGATATTCAATACAGACAAAGGGGTAATACACAGGGAAGGCCCAGAGTGTAGGAGAGTGCCAGGGACACAGACTCCACCCCCATGTCACATGACCCAGTGGCCTGTCCTTGCTCTGGGAGGAGGCTCAGCTCAGAGGAGATAGCACAGCAGAGCTGACCCTCCTGAGCAGCTTGCTTGGCAACCTTTGTTGAGCCAAAGCTCTTCTCCACAGGAGGACAGAGCAGGCAGCAGACACCATGGCGCCCCGCACAGCCACTTCCTTCATAGGGATTGTTCCCTGGCAGGGGCTCCTGCTTACAGGTGAGAGGGGACAGTCCCTGGGATGCTATACCAAAGGGTAAACCCCTAAACACTGTTTGGAGAAGGACGGGAGAGGACACAAAAGAGGATCAGAAGACTGAGGAACAGGAAACTCGCAGTGCATGGGTACTAAAAAAGGAGGAGGAAAAGCTCCATTTTTCTCTGTTATAAGTTAATTGTCACTGGTCACGACTCTCTATGCAGTTCAGGCTGCCTTTGAACTTTCTTTGTAGCCCAAGCTGGACTTGAACTGGCAGTAAACCCTGCTCAGCCTCTCAAGTGCTAGGATTAAGGACATCTGCCACAAAACGTCAGGCCACTACATTTTAAATATTAATGTCAACAACAAAGTCAGGGTAACTCTAATAAAATCACAGCTGGGGTATGAAGTATTGTTCTCACCCATCGCCACCAGAAACTGCAAACAAACCCCTGGGCACACAGGGCTGTCAGAGCCATCGCTCATTCATCCATGGTATCTGAGGTTGTTCCTGACCCTGGGCTCCAGCAGAATCAGACAGCTCCCTGTGCTCACCAAGCTCTTGTCTTAGAGGGAGTAAAACTTATCAAAAAGGACATCTAGAAGGGGAAGGCAGGTGTTCACAAGTGCCACAGAAGGAAAAAGCTGTAAAAGGTAAGAAATAGAAGAATCAGATCTCTGTGTGAGGGGTCAGGGAAGGAGTCTCTCCCAGGCTTCCCTGAATGTGAGTAGGACCAGAGGGCAGTGATCTGTGAGCCATGCAGACCCCTGGGGCACAGTGCTCCAAACAGGGAATGCCAAGTTCAGGAGAAAGGAAGGAGTAAAGTCCCACTGCTGACCTCAGCCTAGTAAGAGACACACCCATGCTTGCAACAGTCACACTAAGCAATGAAAACATCTCAGGACTCAGGGCTCCATCTCTCCATCCAATAGTTTCCACTTTGATGAATTTCTCTCTGTCTCTTTAGCCTCACTTTTGACCTTCTGGAGCCCACCTACCACCGCCCAACCAGTTGTTCAAGCAATTCCTCCCAATGTTGTTGAAGGAGAAAATGTTCTTCTACAACTCATCCATGCGGCAACAAATCATTGGGGCTACAAGTGGTACAGAGGGACAATAGTTGCTTCCGACATGATGATTGCAACATTTTCCAAAGTCAGTGAACAGAATACTACAGGAAATGCATACACCGGTCAAGAAATAATATACTCCAATGGATCCCTGCTGATCCGGAACATCACCCGAGAGAACGCAACAAACTACATCGTGGAGGTTATACTAGATGATTTGATAGTTCTTCAGGCATCTGGAGAATTTCGTGTATATTGTGAGTTATTCTCAATGAATTATGGATGTGGGGTGAGGTGAATTCTACTTTATACACACAGAAAACTGTCAGTCTTGGATGGTGCCCCCCGCTCCGCCATATTGCATCTCCATGCTGGCCTTTGAGCCCATGGTGCATGACACATACAGTGGAGATGACCTTTAATAGGCTGCAATTCTTTACCTAAATCCACCTTGCAGAAGGAAGGAGAGTTAGGTGCAGTAACTTGACCCTCTCAATCCATCCCCGAAGTCATTTCTCATTTAGGTGACCTTGAGGATCTCAGTCAGGGTTTGACGTGAAGGACATTTCAATCCCATGCTTGAGACCTCTGTCCCAAGATCCTCACTACAGTGATCCTGTGGATCTTGGGCTCAGAATTAATGTGACCCACCAATTAGGAATGATGGCAGGCAGTAATTCAGTGGCTTTGTGAATCTCATACTTCTTTAAAGCTGGTCCCTAGAGCAGAGAGTGCACAAACACAAGACCCACGTATGGGTAAGCACACCTGGGCCTTCCTTTCTCTAAGACTTGGCATAGATAGCTCAGGTATGCAAGTGCCTGAAGCCATTAACTAACTTGACTGACTCGTGAGAATCCACAGGAAGCTCAGTGTTCCTAAGGGCAAGAACACAGGAGAATGAGGCTCCTGGAATTTCCCTGTCCACTGGGAACTGTTCCAGTTCATCCTACAAGTAATACATGCCATTTATTTAGGCAACTACTGTATGCCAATATCATATAACTGTGTTTCAGAATAATTTAACATGGCAAACTAACAACATGGCAAACCAGATACCTTATGTATCCTTATGACAGGGAGATGAAGACACAGCAAAATACAGTTTCTGGACCAGGCTCACACACACTAGAGATAGCAGCTCAGAGGCATTACCTAGCTCTGTAAAAACACAGCCATGTGATCTCCACTATGGAAGATTTCTTAGATGTCTGTGAACTCCAGTTATTGATTCATGTTTTTTAAAGTGAATCATCTCCAACCCAGAGTGAGTCTGGTTGGACTGAGATCAAATATAAAGTTAATCAATTTTTTTGTCTTTTTTGAGATGGGGTCTCACTATGCAGTTCAGGCTGGCCTTGAGCTCACTTTGTAGCCCAGGCTGGTCTCGAACTTGCAACGATCCTCCCACCTCAGCCTCCAGAGTGCTGGGATTACAGGCATGAGCCACTACTCGGGAGTGCTGGGATTACAGGCGTGAGCCACCACGCCCAGCTGAGTTAATCAATTTTTGCTCTGGAATTAAATCACCTACTTCAATGCAATATTTAGTGCTCTGTGCTCAGGAGACTAACCCACAGCCACCCTCACTAGATTTAGAGTCCTATCTTCCTGATTTGTTAAGGATCATTTAAGTTGAGTATAAAAGAGATGGCTTTGCTCTCTTGCTCCATACTAGATCATGAAACCAACATGCCCAGGATTTACAGCAAAGTCAATAGTTTTGTGATGAAAAATGGGAAAAATAAGCAGTGAATGAATGAATGACCTAGATCCTTTCAGAGACTGGGATTTCTACCTAGCATCCTGAAAGGTTCTAGCCACAGTAGCTTCCTGTCCTGCTCACAGGCTGAAATACTTTTTCTCTTCCTCTGATCACCTGCTCCTGAGCCACCTCACATAATGATACTAGAACTGCTGGGCTGTGGTAAGCCTTGCAGGAGTGTTCTGACTGGTTGAGACAGCCCACGGTCTCTTGGTATCTGGTGTCTGTGAAGTTACTGAAACTGCACTGCTCCCTGCCATGGGCATTTCTGGCTCTCTCAGCTCTTTCCCTGTCCCCATCTTCTGGTCTCTTCAGCTTCTGTACTACACAGATTGCTGCATCCTTTCTCCCAGGCACATAGCTGGTGGTCCGGATTCCTGTCACTAACAGCAGGGGCCAGACCCACCCTCTGGGACAAAAGAAAAGGTCAACTGGCCCTTTAAGGCTCTGTCATGAGGCAATGTCCCCTGCTGGGGCTGAGCCTCCACTGTGCCCTACACTGGGGCTCCCTCCTTCCATAGAGCCAGTAGCATAGGCCACAAGATAGGTCCCAGCATGTCTCTGACTCTGCTGACTCAGCCAGGGGGCCAGAGGCAGAGGGATAGACCTGCAAGGCACAAAGCCCCAAGTTGTTCACCCATCTGTTTGTTGACTCCATCCTACTCCCCATGTGGGGTTCACATTCCTTTAGAGTTCCTAACCACCTCCTCTAGAGCACACTGGCCTGACAAGCACTATTTCAAGAGTTTGATGCCTATGTCATTAACACTTGTGTTCCCATGACACTATCATCACAAGTCTGGTAGCCTAGTAAGATGCATCAGCCATGGTCACTTTAGTTAGTCTCTGTCTGATCTTGGAGATTTTAATAAAATCTTAGTGGTGATTCCTGGGGTCAAAAAGAAAAGTCACAAAGATTTTACATGCCTAGTTGGGCTCCTATGTACTTTGGCTTATTCTCAGATGCAACTGGAAATATGGACTTCTAATGTTACTAATGTAATGTCACTTCTTGAAAGTTGCTATCATCCCTTATTTTATACTAGGGATGCCTCCGACTTCCCCTCTGACTAGGTTTATCCACCCAACCAGGCTCGTGGGACTGCTCATCAGAGAGTGGCGAATTTCAAACTGGCTTCAGGAACTATCTTTGATTCATGTGTAACCCAGAATGTCCTCAGAGCTTGGTCTAAGACCCTATGGTTCTTCTAGAGAAATATTTTGTTCAGGAATTGGACTTAGATTCGTGGATTGAAATGCAAATTTCCCAGAAAAATAATTTAATATCTGATATTGCTACCCAAACCTGTCAAAGCCCACAGGGCCTTCATATACCACCTACAGTGGGACGGGGGACATTAAACTCCAAGGAAAAGAACTTGATTCAGCTTTCTCAACTTTGTCTCGTTCTCACACTCCAAGATCATTCATTAGACTCATGCTCATGTCAGTCACCAACAAACTGTGGGGAGAATCTCCCCACATTATGGCCTCAGGCTGATTCCTGGGCTGAATGCCAGGCTTGGTGCTGCTTTTCTTGTGTATGATTTCTGCACACAAACATCCTCAGTCTGGGCTGTGGGGTCTTCTGTAGGTTTAAGCTCAATGGCAGATCCCATCATAACCCATCTTGAGCACAGCCTTGTAAAACAAAGCATCAGAGAAAACACCTGAAGCTGAGCAGTAGAGGTCTCTGCAACTAGAGTGTCTCAGCACACACATGACCCAAGGAATACTATGTGCCTAGTGGTGAGGCCAGGAGAGGCACTAGGGGTCTATCCATCACCAAATACTGCAGCTTGATTCTAACATGAAAAGGACTGTGTGCTTCTCAGACAAAATGTAGGTGTCCTCATGTCCTCTGAGTGTTCAGGTCTTCACGCCTCTGGCTCTGAGGTGCACTCCTGTCTGCTTCTTTAAAGACTCAAGTTGGCTGAGAGGTGAGAGAGCTCTGCTGTGGTAGAAAATGCTTTTTCCCAGTTCAAAGGCACCACATGAGGCAATCTGTTTTCAGCACAGCGATCTTGCCCAAACCCTACATCACTGTCAACAACTCCCACCCTGTGGAGGGTGAGGAAGCTGTAGCACTGACATGTGAACCCAAGACTCAGAGCACAATTTACTTGTGGTGGATAAATGATCAGAGCTTTCAAGATGGTGATAGGCTGAAATTATCTGATAGCAGTAGAGTCTTATTTCATTGAATGTCACAAGAGATGACACAGGATTGTATGAGTGTGAAATTCAGAATACAGTGACCTCTAACTGAAGTGACTCGATCTCCCTGAATGTTTCCTGTGCATAACTTTTATTCTACTGTGATCTCAGCTAAACTCCCAATAAACAGGGCCAGAGGCAGAGGCCAGTGTACTCAGTATCTCTCTTAGGTCCAGAAAACAGGCTTTTTATAAGGATAAAACAAAAGAAAGGAAAACAGAAAGAACAAAGCAGATCAGAACAAGACAATGGAAGCAACACACGATTGCAAAACAAGACAACAGGAAATCAACAGTGGATACCATGTCTCTTGTTCTCTTAGATATAGTTGTCCATATCTTTGTGCACGATTAACTGAAACAAAATTAAACACTACAAAACTGATCAAAACAAAAGAATGAATACGTTACAGGCATTCAAAACCAGACACAGGAAAATCAGCAATGGCTATCATAATGTCTCTTGTTCTCTTCAAAATAACTGTCTGTACCTTCACCCATATTGAAATTAAATAATAGAAAACAGGCTAAAACCAATCAAAGCAAACAATAAAAGCATTACTGAACTTCACCACAAAATGATAGGAAATCCGCTATGGCTACTTTAATGTCTCCTGTTCTTCAAAACAATTGTTCATACCATCACATGTAATAAAATCATTTCTTGTAAACTCTTTAGGAGAAGTTCTATGCGTGTATAAGCCCATACATGTACATCTATCCTCTCTGTAATATAGGAAAAAACAAAACAAAACATAACGAATTATGAGAAAATCAAGAAACAAAGAGACAAAGACATAATAATAACAAAGAGCCCAAACCAATAACAATATAGGCTTTCAATACAAGGTGGTGGGAACATAGCTAACCTTGTTTTACACAGTTATCTTGAGAAGAGTTCCTCAGGTTACCAGATGTAAACATGCAACATTGATCTAATCCTAGGAATGTTAACTGTTTTGTCCCAAGAACTAACTGAATTAGTAGCACAACCATCTTAGCTATCTTAAATTTGTACATGCAAATTTATATATTTTTCTTTTTCCTTTCCTTATCTCCTTTTCCCTGAGCTTTTTGTTCCCCTTTGAGCAGTTTCTTACCCTTTCACTATATTTATTGAAGATTTTCTGTCTTATGTACTCTTTTCAGTTTCTTATACTAAGAAGATGACATGGTATTTACACATGTCACTTTGATTTATTTCACTTATGAGTGTGGTCTCAAGTTGCATCCATTTATCTATAAAAGCCTCAGTGTAATGCTTCTTTATAGCTCAGTAGTATTCCACTGTATAAAAATACCACATCTTTTTTTATCCATTCCTCAACTGACAAGTATTGAGGTTGTTTCCAAGATCTGGCTATTGCAAATTGTGCTGCTATAAACATGGGTGCACTTGTATCACTGTGGTATGATGTTTTCAGTTCTTCTAGGAATATGCCCAGAAGTGGAATAGCTGGGTGTAATGAGACATCTAGTCCCAGCTTTTTAAGAAACATCCTGACTGACCTGTACAGTGGAATGCACCAGTCTACACTCCCACCTACAGTGCAGGAGAGTTCCTTTTTTTCCCCACAATTTCTCTAACATTTGGTAGTTTTTTTTTTGTTTGTTTGTTTGTTTGTTTGTTTGTTTGTTTTTACCCTGGCCATTCTTTCTGGAGTGAGATAGGATATCAGTGTGGCTTTAATTTGCATTTCTCTAATGACCAATAATGCTGAACACCTTTTCTTGTATTTATTTGCCATTTGTATTTCTTCAGCTGAGAAGTGTGTCCCATATGCGCATTTTTGGATTGGGCTTTTCAATTTTGGGGGGTCTGATTTTTTAAATTCTTTTATATGTTCTAGATATAAGTCCTTTGTCTAAGGCACAACTGACTAAGATTTTTTTTCCCAATTTGTGAGTATTGTTTTCACTATGTTGGAGATTTCTTTTGATATGCAAAAGCTCTCTAGTAAGGTGGGATCACAGTTGTTGATTCTTGGAAGCTTTTCCTGTGCAGTGTGATTTTCAGGTCTTCAAAGTTTTTTGCCTAATTTGTCTTCCAACAGATTTAGTGTTTCTTTTTTAATAGATCTTTGTTCCATTTTGACTTTAGCTGAGTGTGTGGTGATAGACATGAGTTTAGTTTTAAGTTTTCCCATATGGCAAGCCAGGTTTTCCAGCAGCACTTATTAAATGGGCTGTCTCTCATTCAGTGAGCATCTTTGTCCTCTTTATCAACGATAAGGTTGTTGAGTGTGTTTGTAGTTGTGTTTGTATCTTCTAATCTATTCCATTGATCTTCAAGTCAAACAGGTCTCACTCCTGGACATCTGGGCTGGCTGTACAATCCTGGCCCTACCATCTAGGCTGCCTGACCATCAGCCCACAGCAGGAGAAAAGGGGCCTCTCCTGATTGTAAGGATTCACCTAATCACCTGTTATCTAACAACAGGTGATGACTCAGGTTCAGCCAGCACAAAGGGTTATGACTGGGACTTTTTTCGGTGTATGTAGTACTGGGGATGGAAACGGGGACTGATGTACCCTAGGCAGGTGCTCTGGCACTGAGCTGCACCTTCTCACCTTTTAAACAAGGTTATGACATGGCTCAAAAGGATACTCTGCCTTCTACAAGCCAGGAGCTTCCCCTTCCCTCTTATGACATCATATGTGGTTTTATTCTGTTCACTACAGATGGCCTAGATGTCCCCATCATATTTCCCCCAGAGTCACATTTACATCCAGGGACAAACCTCAGGCTCTCCTGACACACAGCCTCTAACCTACTTGCACAGTGTTCTTGGTTTGTCAATGGGAGACCACTGAAATCCACACAGGAGCTTTCCGCCCCTTACAACTCTGCAAATAGCAGTGGATCTCACACCTGCCTTGTCTCTAACCTGCCACTGGCCTCAGTAGAAGCACAGTCAAGGATATGACAGTCACTGGTAAGTGGATCCTGGAGTGATAGCACCAATCTCTAGGGTAGTGTTTTTGTTGTCTGGAAATAGTGGGAAAGAATTCACTTCCCAGCCTGTGTCCCCAGACACAAGCAAATCCCCATCCTCCCTGGGCATTAGGCCCCATCCCCAAGACTATCCTCCCGTTGGTTGCCTGTTTCTTATGGCTGAGCTGGAGTTCAGTGTGAAATAAAGAAAGACTGTTCTTCTAATCCCACAAAGCCTAATTGAGTGGCTGGAGATACACAGAAACTAGGATGGGGGACATCTTTGAAGTCAAGTACCTTCTTTTGCTCAGTAAGTCATTCCTTCTGTCATCTTTTTATCTTTTACCTCCTCTGTGAGCTACAAGGAACTTACAGGGCTTTGATACATCTTTGCACTGTTTTTCTCCAGTGGGAGGAGAAAATCCCTCTTGGACAAGGTACAGCAGCTCAGAGCTCTGCTCCATCTCTGTTCCAATCTCACCCAGGGAATGACTCTGCCCTTACTGTCTCTGGGGTAAGACAGGACAGTTGGAAAGGGTGTCAGGGTGGTGTGTCCTCAGTCTGCTAAATCGTGTCCCCAGTGGGCACCTGCAACTTACAGGCAGACAATGAAATGAAAAAGTGCAACTCAGGGCAGATGCCTCAGAGCTGGGTCCTGGCTCTGAAGTCCCAGCTGTCTGAGCTGAGAATGCACCTGAAGGTGATGCACCGTGGAGAGCAGTGCTTCCCTATGGAGTCCTACATGGAGGAACGGGCAGAGTCAAAGGGCTACATTTGCAGAGAAAATAGTGCCAGCCTTTTGTGAACCCCGTGACCATTATCTCTGCGAATTTCCTTCACTGTGGTATTTAATTCGCTGGTCAGGAAATCAAAGTCTTTTTCAAATTAAAGTCCTGAGATGTTCTTCAGGTATGGGTGGCTCAGCTTTTACTGTTACAGAAAGCACTGGCAAAACACTGTTCAAAAGTCAGTGGGAGGCTTAGCATGGTGGTTCACACCTATAATCCCAGCACTTGGGAGGCTGAGGCTCCAGGACTGTTGAAAATAGGAGACCAGCTTGGGTTGCAAAATGAGCTCAAGGCCAGCCTGAACTGCATCGTGAGACCTTGTCTCAAAGAAAGAAAACATCAATGGGTGGCTATTGTGGCTTTTCTGATGGTAAATCATGCTACTTTGGCCAGGATAATCTTTTAATCTTGCTGTTTCCTCTTTTATTGTGTGCATGCTTGTTATGCAGAGATAGTCCCCTCCCACCCTTCACTTTTGACTTTCTTGAATTAAAAAAAGGTCAATGGGAAAAAATATTTGACCTTCCAATGAGATTTCTGGACAGATTGGCTAATAACAGGTTCCTAACATGGATCCTTCAGAGAGGTCTTGGGAAGCGGATGGGCCTCCCTGGGTGTGCTGGGTTCAGAGGGAGGGAGAGCCTGCTCCTTACTGTCACTGAGCCAAGGCATGCACCCTCTGTGCAGGAGCAGGGCTGTCCTCAGAGTCACCTCACAGCACTCACAGTGGCCCAGAGACTTGGCTAAATATCCAAGGAAAGGGCACAGGCCTGAGGCCCATGCTCAGTGGGTTCTCTCCTATGTCCACAGCACCTGTGTCGCAACCCTCCATCAGCACCAGCAGCGGCACGCTCACAGAAGACGATTCTGTGGTCCTGGACTGCCACTCAAGGGACACTGGAATCACCTTCTCGTGGCTCTTTGAAAAGCAGAAGCTGAGGCTCAATAAGAGAATGAGCCTGTCCACCATAGGCAACTCCCTTACCATCAGCCCTGTCAAGCCTTGGGATGCCGGGGAGTATCAGTGTGAGGTCTCCAACCCTGCCATTTCCAAAAGGAGTGAATCCCTCTTTCTAAGTGTGACCGGTGAGTGACTTCTCCTCTCTTACCTCTTCTGGGGAGACGTTCTCACCCAATAATGTGTAAGATGGATACAAGTCACAGGGAATGTCTCAGTTGAGACACAAATATAGTGGGAGCTGGGGATTTAGTTCAGCGGCATAAGCACCTGCCTTGTAAGCAGGCAGTCGTGAGTTTGATCCCCGGTACCGATAAAAAGGAAAAAGACAAAAAAAAAAAAAAAAAAAAGAGAGAGAGAGAGACACAAATATAGTAAAGAGACTTGAAAAGTGGTTCAGAGCTTTGGCTCTGACTCCACAGTCACCTCCAGTCTTCACAGGGAGTTTGTTCCAGGGGCCCCACAGACACACCAGTACCTGTGGATACTCTAATGCCTTATGTTCAACTGGGGTAGCACTCGCACATGACTGTGCGAATTCTCCCACATATTTTTGATTGCTTATTTGTAGTACTAAGGGTTAAGCTGAGAGCCTTCCTACTGAGCTACATCCCTACTCCCCCTGCACCCCCTTTTTTTTCCTTTGGTACCAGGGATTGAACTCATGATCTCATACCTTCCAGGCAGGCAGTGTGCTGCTGAGCTGTATACTCTGGCTTATTTTTTTTTCTGTCCCTTTATTTATTTTAGCCAGTCTTATTAGATTATCAAGTTGCCAAGTCTGTGCTTAAACTTGTGATTCTCTGGCCTCAGCCCCACGGAGTGCCAGGTCTACAGACATGAGCCACCACACTCAGTTCTCCCATATATTTTAAATCATTGCTAGATTATTTCCAATACCAAATGCAATGTAACTCATTCTTGTGATCCATTTTTTAAAGGAATAATGAAGAGAAAAATGTCCATACATTTTCCAAGTAGACTCTTTTTTTCTGAAGAGTTTCAAACCTTAGTTGGCTAACTCCATGGGTGTCAGGAAGCCAACCACACTGAGTTTCTTATACTGAGTTTGGCATTGATTGTGTCAACTTGGGCAAGGTTTTTTTTAATTGGCCTATTTTTCTGTTAACATTCCTTTGCTATGTGGTAAAATATACACAACACTTAATATTTTAACCATTTGAAAAGCACAGTTCCTTGACATTCAGTATATTCATATTGTTATGTAACATTGCCACTATCCATTTCTGGAACTTTTTCATCTTACCACACTAACACTTTATACCTAGTATACAACAACTCCCCATTCAACCACTGCCCAGCCTCCAGCAACCCACTTCTTTCTGTATGTGTGTATATTTGTCTCCTAAACCTCTCACAGAAGGAGAATTGCACAATATTTGTTCTTTGTGTCTGGTTTAATGCTCTTAGCATAATGTCTTCAAGGCTTATCCATTTTGTATGTATACCAGAAGTTTGTTCCTTTATTTTTATTTTTTAAGACCACGATAGACTAATGTATGGATATAGTGCTTTGTGGGGTATACCTCATGTCACTTACTCACTCATCCATCAATAGACTTTAGGGTTGTTCCCATTTTGGTCGATTGATAATTCTGCTATGAAAAAATATGCAAATATCAGCTCAAACCTTTGATTTCAGTAATTTCAGCTGTGGAATTACAAAATGAGAAGCAATATTTTTTGAGGAAGCCTATACTGAAATCACAGTGACTGCCCCATTTCACATTCCCACCTACCACAGGCACACAAGTCTCAATTTCTCTACATCCTCAAAAAGACTTGTGTTTTGATAATAGATATCATACTGGGTGTGAGGTGGTTTTGATTTGCCCCTCCCTAATAACCAATGACATTCCACATCTTTTTATATGTTTACTGGCCATTTTTATATCCTCTTTAGAGAAATGGCTGCTCAAGTCTGCTTTTTACTTGGATGGTTTGGGGCTTTTTATTATTGTTAAACTGTAATGCACCCCAACTTATCTGTGATATTCTTAGTGTTGTTGCCTATGCTTTTGTTTTCAGAGCCAAGAAATCATTGCCAAATGCAACATAGCGAGGGTTTTCTCTGTATTTGCTGCTAAGGATTTTACAGTTTTAGCTGTTACATTTAGGTATTTGGGCCACTTGGAAATAATTTTTATATATTATGTCAGGGAAATGTTCAGCTTCTTTTGCATGGAGATTCAGGTTTCTCAACATCTTTGATGAAAAAAACATTCTTCTGCATGGAACAGTACTAGCACCCTCATCAAAAATAATCTGCACACAGGATTATAGTTTTATACATAGAATAATTTCGAGTATGCTGTGGCACAGCAGGATAACTATGTAATTCAACATAAGCATCAAAGACAATTTTGAACGATTGTAACACAAAACATGATAAACATTGAGGTGATGGAGCTGCTACTTGCCCTAAACTGGTTATCACACATTCTAATATATATATTCAATGACACACAGTACCCCGTGCATATGTATTCTTCTTACATGGCAATTAACATTTTTACATAATTTAAAATCATTTGGCCATCCATGGGAGTATTTATTTGTGGGGTTTTCATTCTGTTTCACTGATTGTACATCTTTGTTCATGCTAGGAGCACACTGCTTTGATTACTGTAACTTTGTACTAAATTTTAAAATCATGCAGTGTGAGTCCAATTTTATTCTTCATTTTCCATTGTTTTAAGTATTTTGGGGTCTCTTAAGATTACGTATGAATTTTAGGATGGCTTTTTCTATTTCTGCAGAAAATGTCCCTGGGTTTTGTTTGTTTGTTGTATTATTGGTGGTTGAAATTGAGGCCTTCATACTGAGCTACATCCCTGGCTACTGCTACCACCACCACCTTTTGTGCTCAGGGTCTCACTAATTTGCTCAATTGTCTGAGCTGGGTTTAAACTTGTCATCATCCTGCCTCAGCCTCCCAGACCATAATTACCTGAAAAGCTCGCAGAGATTTTGATAGTACTTGCACTGAATCTATAGATCATTTGGGGTAGACTTATTTTCTTAACAAGACTGAGTCTTCCAAAACCTAAACATAGGTAAGGTACAGTGGTACAAACCTGTAATCCCAGCCCTTCAAGAGGGGGGTCAAGAGGAGGCCAACTCAAACTACATAGCAAGACCTTGTTTCCAAAAAACAATAGAATAACTTCCCATTTATGTATTTTCTAGTGATTTCAGCAAAGTTGTATAGTTTTGTTGGGTACAAGTCTTTCACCACCTTGGTGAAACTGACTGGTTTGCAGTACTGAGATTTAAACCCAGGGCCTTTACACTGAGCTAGCTCGCCAGTGTTTTTGTTGTTGTTGGTTTTGTTTTGTATTGTGGAGCAAAGTATTATTACCTCAGCTTTCTAGAGTACTAGGTTTATAGCCATGGACCACCACAGCCAACTTGAAGTTTACTTCTAAGTACTTTATTCTTTTGGATACTCTTATAAAAAGATTTCTAAAACTTTCCTATTACATTGCTCATGGTTAACATATAGAAATAGAACTGAGTTTTGCATTTGATTTCATTTGTCAGTAAAGTTGAATTTGTTTATTAATCATAACAGTTTGGGAGTACAATTTTCTATCTGTAAGTTGCCATTTGGAAATGGACATAAGTTAACTTCTTTCTAATTTGGATGTCTTTCTTTTTCTTGCCTTGCTCTTGCTAGAGTCTAATTCTATATTGAATAGAATTAAATGTTGGTATCTGTATTGTTCCTAATCTTAGTGGGGAAATTTTTAGTCTTTCACCACTAACTCTGATGTTCACTGTGAGTTTTTCATACAAGGCCTTTTACTTCTTTCTATTCCCAGTTTGTTGCTCAATTTGTTTCCTTTTCTTAGTTTTATTTGTTTTCCTGTACAGATGATAGAACCCAGAGGGTTTCTACCACTGAACTAAATTTCTGGATCTTTTAATTTTTTTCAAACAGGATCTTGCTAAGTTGTCAGCTTTAGCCTTGAATTTACAACCTTCCTGCTTCAGCCTCCATAAGAGCTGAGATTACAGGTGTTTGCTATGGTACCTAGCCTAGTTTGAGTTTTTTCTGTTTTGTTTTTTTTTTTTTACATAAATTTTAACAAATGCTTTCCCAGATTCAGATCTGTCCTTATGTTCTATTTCTTCATGATTCTTTGTGCTTCTAGGAAATTGCCCATTCCACCTGTGTTAACAAATTGTTGTTATAAAATTATTCACAGTACACTTAAAATGCTTATTATGCTGAAGCATTGATAATGTCTATTTTACTTCTAGTGTTAGTAATTTGAAACTTCCTATTTCTTAGTTAAACCACTTTGAGGTTGTCAGCTTTAAACATCTTTTTTGAAGAACCAACTTCTGGTTTCATTGATTTTTGTTGGCTGTTTTTCTGTTCTATTTTATTTATGTTTATCCTGAGCTTAATTGTCTTCTTTCCACTAGTTTTCATGTTAGTTTATTATTTTTCTATATCCATAATTCCTATTTGATTGTTAAATTGGGATCATGTTTTTTAAATGTAAGCAACTACAGCTATGAGTGTCTTGTGTAGGATTCTTAATATATCTGAGACTCAGATAACCCAAATGTGAATCATAATAAAAGTACCTGCTTCACAGTGTCTGTCATGGTTTATATTGGTGGCCCCTAGTCCTCACGCGTTTCCATCGTGCATTTGTGATTGCTTCGTTGACTAGCACTTGGATGGATGGTGTCAGTGCTACACCCACCTAGGAGTTGGAGCCAGCATACAGTGTAATGGCAGGAAGAAGTTGTATTTCTCTCTCTTGCCAGTTTCCGCCTTGCTGTTTGCAGTTGCCATGAACTGCGGTCCCACCATGACACCTGCCTTGGAGCCAACTGAACATAAACTAAAACCTCCAAAAAACTGTAAGAAATAAACCTTTGCTTTCCTAACTTTGGACAATAGGTATTTCATCTCAGTAACCAGTAAAAAGTAACTAAGACAGTACTGTTCTAACTACTTCATGTAATAACCAGCTATTCAGGAAAATGGCACAGGCAGAGAAAAATTTCTGTAAGTATTACCTGCTATTACTACTATAATTATTATTAGTCTTGAAGTCGGGCAGCCAGATATGCTTCATGTTAGCCATATGAAGGTAGTAAGCTTTTCAGCACTCTAAGCCCAAAGTGTCATCCATAAAATGGACATAATGTCTACCTAAGAGAGGGAGCCCGGGAGAGCCCTCAGATCACAGTGCAGGTTTCAGCTGTGTATAGAGGAAACCGTGTAAACAGCAGCTTTAGACTGCAGTGCAGTTAGATCTCAGAGAGTCTGCACAAGGCTGAGGGAGAGTTCTCAAGCCAGTTCTCCAGCAGAGGAAAGGCTTCCTTTTGCTTCTGTGACTAACAGGGTAGATCACTTACTTGCTCTGGGGGCTCTGTCGGCTGCAGACCTAGGCTTCCTTATGCCCCTGCTGACCGTGGTGGGAAGCATGGCCTCTATGCAAAGGAGGTGACGAATTCTGAGTGCGCTATCACCTGTGCCTGCTGTCAAATAAGCCCTTGCCACAAGAGAGCTGATAGGCACATATTTGTGGCCAGCTCAAACAGAACCCTGTGAAAACAGATGGAACCACAAAGGATAGGAAGTTACAACATACAGAAATTACTATTCAGCCTTCCTCACATTTCTGAAGCCTTCAGATACCTGCACAAAGGCCTGGATGGAATTGTGGGAAGATAAATCACCAGTAAGTGAGGTGGATTACAAGGCCTGCCAGTCACCTCACTGCAACCCTTTCCGCAAACCATGTACTTCTCAAAGGAATAAACAGAGCTATACCATGTTAAGAATTGTGTCTCAAGACATCCCTCTATAAATCAGTTTCACATTCATTGCTTTTTCTCTTTTCTTTCCATGGCAGGTAAGCCAACAAAACCAGAGCCTGCTGATGCCTCGATGTTGCCCAATATCAGTACAATGCTTGTAGCTCTAGCTATTTTGATTCTCATAAGTGCCATGGCATACAACATTTTTTTCCGACAAAAGTGATGGGTATGATGTCCTTTCCAACTCTTCCATTTCTTCCAAGGCCATCGTCATGCTTGCAAGAGGGACAGGACTTTTATCCCTCCCTCTTCGGTCTGGACCACCTCTTCAGTTGCCTAAACTCCTGCTGCTCAGTCTTAAATCTAGTTGGTCTTCCTCCTCCTGTCCTCATGCTCTCTGTATTCCACTGTCTCTTGGGTGTGGTTTTTCTCATCCATGCTTCAAGAAACAGATCCACTTATGTTCTCTATCCTTCCAGTGAGGAACCCAAGGTAGAAGAAGCTGAATAAGCTATGCCGACAGAGCCTCCAGAGCAAGTAAGTGATCTACCCTGTTCGTCACAGAAGCAAAAGGAAGGAGAAGGGAATTTAAGAGAAAGTAGAAAAAAATCAGGTGGCCAATAAACACAAAGCAAGAAATAACCTCTTCTGATGTAAAACAAAATAGGAGGGGCACAAACGTAAGGGAGGCACAGAAGGGTCAACAGAGACTAAACCTACACGATTGGGGATGTAGCTCAGCAGCATTTCCCTGGGTTTGATTCTAGGACCGGGAAAAAAAAGCTGTAAAGTGGACATCTGGAAAAGGAAGGGAGGAAGCAGAAATTATGGTGAGCATGAAGAATGAGGACTAAGGAAAAACAATGCCAACTGTAAAATGAATTGACATCAGGGAGTGTCAAGGAATTATCTGCTGCCAGGTGTCCTTCCTAAGCCAGGGACCAAAGGCCCTGCACATGGGAATAGCAGTCACACTGTCTCATGTCGTTTTTAGGAAGAGTAACCAGAATGATCTCACAGAGCACAAACCCTCAGTCTCCCATCGCAGTAAGTAAAGCCACTCACCCAATCAGAATGGGTATGTTCGACCACGTGTCCTACACTGGCAGAGAACACTAGATTCACCAACTTTTCCTCTCACTCTGAATTGTTCTCCACTTCCCTGCCCTAAGATGACACAGCTCCTTAAACCCTTCCTACTCACAAGAGTCCCCTGAGTCACATCCTGCAGAGAAGCTCACACCACCTGAGCCAAGCAGGTGCCAGAATTCATCTTTACCTGTACTTCTTCCCCTTTGCCTCTGTTAGGGATGTGGGCCCTCTCCTCAGGGAGACTTCCCTTGGCTCATGGGTGCTCTGGGTGATAAGAGCTGTCATTGGCCCTCCTTACCTTTGGAGCATGCTGCTAACATGATGGGGGGAGGGGATCAAGGCCTTGCGAACCAGTAGAAATGATCAGAGGTGGCTGGAGGTCTCCTGTGTCTCTACTCCCCACCACTCATCTGTGTCTAATGCCCTTGGTCTGGGCCACAGATTCTGAGGGAAAGCAAGTTCCCTAAGTTATCATGGGGTTCGTCCCCAGACCCCTTAACAGCCACAATCTGCTACCTTCTCCCACTAAATCATAGGCCTTAAATCAGCTTTGCACTTCCATGGTGTAGTAACTCTGCTTTTGCTTCCCCAGGACCAGGCCTCTCTGATAACTCCCCTGACAAGGTAAGCACAGCCAGGCTCACTGGCTCATTTTCTCGTGGAAATTTTCCTGGGGAGAATGGGTTGTTTCTGAAGACACATATGTGAGATCAAGTTTGGGGCTAAGATCCTCAGTACAGCACCAAAGAAGGATTGGTTAATCACTTCCATGAGTCCACCTCACAGCAAGAATGTGGACTTTGGAGTTATCCACACCTTGGTTGTGTGTAACTCTTAGCAGCTTTCTGACGCTTAACACATAACATCATCTCTTTAATCCTCAGTTTTGTTAACAAGGAGATTAAAGTGTTGACATGTGATAACTTGTAAAACAACCAGTGTAATGACCAAAACAAGAAAGTCACCATTTCTTCCTCCTTTATCTATCTAAAGTCTGATCCTGCCCTTACTGTCAAAGGATAATTTCCATTCCACTGGACCTGGAGTACTGATTCCTTTATTTCATAACAATTTTATAGTATTTTTTCAGCTGAAGCTTTCAATAGAATATACACATATGCTAAAAATGTGTTCACATCATAAGAATAAAATTACAGGGTGTGAAATTTCACAAGATGAACACACGCATGAAAACATCATCTCAATGAAGACACTATATTTCTACCCAACAAAAAGATCTTTCTAGTGACTTCCCTACGAGCCATGACCACAGTCCTAACAGCACACCCTTGTAGGCACCTGTGTTCTTTCAGTCAGTGTTGTTTTATGAGATTCGCCCATGTTGCATATGTCTGTGATTTGCTCCTCCTCACGGCTCTATTACCATATTCCACTGTATCACATCATCACCATAATTTATCCCTTTAAAGGACCATTCAGCACCATGGCAGCAAGCAGAGATCAGCCCTTTTCCAAAGCTAAATGTTTGGACATTGAGGTGACAGCCACAATGAAGTTCTATGATAGTAATTTAATTGAGGCTGCTTTTACGTTACAGGTGGATGAAATTGCATATTCTTCCCTGAACTTCAATAACCTGCAACCAAAGCAATCAACTTCACACTCCCTGGTCTCTACAGTATCAGAAATAGTTTATTCAGAAGTGAAAAAGAAGTGATGCAACCTATCCTGTCACAGCACTGCTGACCTACTCCATGGCCTCCCTGGAGATTTCTTTACACTTGGAGGAAAAAGAAAATCAGCCCCCTACTCTGTCATCCCACATGCAGCACCTCCAGGCTGCAAGGCCTTCCTCCAATGTCAATAAATGAAAAGCAACATCGGGGAGTCTGTAGGAAACCCTACTTCCTTGTCATTGAAAGATGGCAAAGTCAACTTTGGGAGACAGTTGTCAGAAGTTCCCTGCTGCTCCCTTTTCCCAGTCTAGATTTGTTTTAAAGTTATTTATTCAGAGTATACTCATTTTCTTCCATCCCACTTCTGTCCTATCAGAGTGTAATTGAATTTGCCATCATTTGAGGGTTATTTCTTTTCTACTTAATTGTGTGTGCCAGGAAAAAACAGAAAAAGGATGGTGGGGGAGGTAGAAAGTAAAGTCAATAATGGCTTTGCCTTTGTCTCCAAATTCTCATGTGAACCTTCCATGCTCAAGAAAGTCAGATAAGCAACCAGTAGTGTCCTTGGAAATTCTATGCTTTATCTCCTGGCACAGGGTCTAAAACACCTTGCTGTTTTGCTAGAATACCACCTAAGCACTTTGACAAGCCTATCTCGAGAGAATTCACTAAAAACCACTGGGGAAATGATTTGCAAAGCCTCACAGGTAACTCTGAATGGGAAGTGCAAAAGTGCACATAAATCTTTAATACCTCTGAGGGTTTGGAGTGTTGTAGTGATGGACTGTGAGGAGAGTAAAGAGTCAGGACACTGTATTGATAATATTATTTTATGACAGTCACTCAGAACTAAAACAAAAAAGTGCAGGAAATGTGTCCACAACACTAAAGACCAAGAATATTTGGGCAAGGGCCTGGATTCTACAGCGAAGTCCTGCATGCCACCAGCTGAAGACCTGGAGCCCATGACAATGCCTCCCATGAGTCTAACTGGAAGTCTAGAGCCCTGGAGAAGGTTACTGAACGAAAGTCTGTGTCACAGATCTGTGCTGGGTAGGCCCAGTGGTCCGGGTTGGAAGCTAGAATGTCTATGTCAGCAGGGTGAATGAGCTGTGTTGGTAGATTGAGGGTTCTATTCTGGAGCTGAGATGCCACACTCAGAAAAAGGCCCAAGGCTTCCCTGAAAAGCACTACAGCCTTCCTCAGTGACACTGCGGTCCTGAGCTCCTCTGTCAATGAAAACAGTCTAATACGTGCCAGAAAGCCAAGCATGACAAGTTTCTCCTGGAGATTAAACCACCACACATCTTCCCCTCTGAAGCCAGGAAGCCATGCTCCACGTAAGAACCAGAGCTCCCCCAAAGTGAACCACAGCAACTCTCGCCAACAAACTCTGGAGCTCCTCTGATGGTAATGGTTGAACTCATATTGGGGAAGCTATTTCATGATGAGCTCCTCCAAGAGAACCACCGGCTCAGAAAATAACACTTAGGAGAACCCACAACACCACACTTTTCTTCTCCACATATCTATTTCTGCTGGTAACTCTCCTCAGGTGGGCCAACTACACTCAGCAGCATGCTGACTTAATTCAGTTGGTGTTAAGTTGACCACCAGTTCTTTATCCATTACACAGAGCAATTCACTTTGAGACATGCAGTCTTCTGGAAACTCAGAAGAAGAAAAGACTTGTCCTTCATTCAGTATTTAAAATTATTGATAAATAATGCACAACTGGAGACATGTAAATTTTCCCTTTTCTGAGACATTTTACCATTTTAAATTTTGTAACTGCTTATTTCTACAAAAAGGTTATTTTTAATTAGTTGTATAAGCAGATCTTGCCACACTGGTATGTAGGAAGCCATCAAAATTCCTCAGATCCCCTTGGCCAGGAGCCTCTCAAGTTTTTTTTTATCAAAGACTTCAAGAAAAAATAAGAAGAGGCTTTGCTCATTTACGCCAAAATGGACCTGGCTCACTTTGAAGCCACTTCAGACCAGCTGCATTTCTGATCCTTATTGCAGTTTGTGCATTCTCTACCTGTCTGCCCTAATGTCTCAGGGCATCTTGACCTCTGCAATGGTGTGTTTGAGCTCTGCAAAGTGGGAGCACCCTAAAGGGAACCATAGGCTCCTGCTGATAGCTTTGTTTACAACCTGGGAAACTCCCCTGGTGCTGATGCCCTTAGGATTGAGGGCCACAAAAGGCCATAAAGGCATGAGGGTTACCCCACCCTGGGGTTTCTGATTGGCCTGGGGAACTTACCTCTCCTCCCTTGGGATCTATGAGTCCGAATGGGACTTAGAATAAAAAGGGACAAGAGAAGAAAGACAAATGTATTTCGCAGAAGCCATTTGGTACTACACAGAGGAAAGATCTTTGGGACTTTAAGGGGAAGGTTTTATTTGATGTTCACTTCTGGATCGCATGCTATGCCTAACAGGTCTCCTCTAATAGAATTCACTGGGAGTTCTCCTACTCAGGTACCTCTTCCAGGGATTTCTAGCCCTGACACTGACTGCGTGCACTTTCAGTCTTCCAAGTGTGCTGGATTATTTAATTTTGCATGGTTAAAGCCACTTCTGATGATTTGTAAAATTTTCTCTATATTTATAATAAAAATATATATCAGATATGGATATGCTGCTTCATGTTAACACTGCATTAGACAGTGTCTTCCTTATAAATAAAAGAAAAAATGGGTCACTGAGGAGTCAAAGGAAGCCCAGTTTGAAATCTGTAGGTATGGATGCAGAGATCAGAGAATTAGCTAAATCCATTTGCACCTCCACTGCCACAGTGAGGGCAGCTGGGAGGAACCTGCTGGAAGGAACTGCTTGTCTTCCTCTGGGAAAGAAGGTGACTTAAAAGTGAGAGACTTCTTAGACTCTTCATGAGGGGCGGAAACACCTCCCACACAGGTGACTAGTGAAGCAGAGGCAGCCACACAACTGTCGCTCTCAAGCATCTCCACAGATGGTCCTGTGGAGTCTCCAGCACCCTTCCATGTCTTCCTCTTCACCAGTTCCGTGTTATGCCCTCTTAATTATCCTGAACAGCTTTCATTTATTCCACTTTAACCTATTGTCTCATTTTCAACTCCTGGAAGCAGCTGAAATGTGTGTGATGTCTTTTCCTGCCTCATCCCCTGTTTCTCATTCCTTAAACCAGGGAGGCAGAAAAAAGTAAGTCTCCATCGCTTGATCAAACTCAGAGGTAGTTTCATGCTTTCACATCATCTAAGTCCACAGGTAACCTTCCTTTCTGGGGCTTCTCCCTGCAACCTAAATATTCCTCCTCACACCACAGCCAGGGCCAGGCCCTTCAGGTCTCCCTCCACCCTGCCCTGCCCTGGGCTTCACAGCCCTCCCTGCGGGGGGCTCCTTCATCTACTTCCTACTGCTTCCCTGAACTCCTGGCTGCCATGTCCAAATGCAGTCTACACAACTCCTGTAAACTGGCTCCCCTCGGCTCACTCCTTTCTCTGACTGACTCCCCCAAAGTCTCCCAGCCCTGCTCTGTGGTCCTCACATTCAACACAGCATCTCCTCAAACCACGTCGATTCTAAGGTCTCTCAGCTGTGTCATTCTCTCCATTCCTGTAACCTAACTGCACCAGGCTTTCAAAACTGTGGGAGGACTGGGCTTCTTTCCCCAGTCTTTCCACAGAAGTCTTCCTACATACCGCTGCCCTGTTACCTTCCTAACAGCTGGTATACTTCCTACTCAAGCATTGACCATGGCCTGTAAGTTCAAATATTTTCTATTCTTTCTTATTTCCCTCACTAGCACTCTCTAATATAATCCCTCCACTCTAGGTACATCTGTCCCCTACAAGTCCCTGCTTGGCCTAAGAATGCTGTTACAGATACATCTAAAACAGTGGTCAACCCATAGCACAGGTGCTGTTTTTCTTTTAAGCAAAAGATATTAACACATGAGGTGATTTTCTCAAAACCATAGCATTCAGGTTTAATTGCACTGTTGGCACTTTGCAATACATCAGTGGCCAGGGGTTGCAGTGGGGCACTGGTCTCTAAGCTATTTGCCATCACTCCTCTAAGATGTCCCCGAAAGTCACAGGTGTTCAGCAGAGGGTGGAGCTTTTGGAAACGTGACTGGGATCATGAAGACTCTGACTTCATGTGGATCAGTGTATAGATAAGTTCGGAAGCTGAGTGGGTTCGCTAGGGGAGGTGTGAATTGGATACACCAGGTCAGTAGGAGCATGGCTTTGAACATTACATGTGATCCTGGCCCCTTCCTTTCTGGCTCCTTCATTCTCTCTCTTTCTGGCTGCCGGGTTGGAGCAGCTCTTCCCTGCCACACCCCTCCATTTCTGCCTTTCTGCTTCCAGCCAGCTGTTAGGAAATGCTTATGAAACTGTGGCCTGAAGCACAGGTGACATTGAGAAAAACAACATGTAGCTGGAAGAACATTCAGGGTGATGGTGTGAGATAAGTAATCTATCCTGCCAGTCACAGAGAGGTACTCAAGGAGAAATGGATGGCAAGTGGCTAAATTTCAAGGGCTGACAGTAGCAAGTATTTCGAGGTGGGGATTAACTAGTGCTCTTATTAATTGCTGCTGGAAATAAAAGTGGGACAACCACGCTACCGAACAGTTTGGCAGGCTACTGTGCACTCTCTGGCTTCAGTGGCCTGCTGTCACCCTGAAGCATATTTCTCTTCCTACCTTAAGAAAATGTAAAACCGTGCTTTTAAAAAGTGTGACAGTTTTCTTACACACAGAAAGATAAATGCCTATAATCTTGCAATCCCACACCTATTATATTACATATTAATCTCCATCTTGATTGATTTATAGCCTGTATTTATAGCCTGATTTATAGCCTGTATTACATCTTCTACGATCCTGATTGCTGCACAAGGTAACGTAATGGTAGACATGAGCTGATACCACAAACTCGGTTCTAGGGCTTAGGCTCCCTTTTAGAATCCCACATCCCACAGCACCACATGGAGCTGTTTCTGCTCTCAAAGAAGCCAAACATGCCAATTCATTGGAATGTGACAGAAAGATTAATACCAGTGTCCTCTGCAGACATCATAAAGGACTACAGACTGCGTGACTTAATTTTCCAGTGCTGAGGATCAAACCCAGCATCTCTCTTACACATGCTAGGCAAGGACTCTACCACTGAGCTTCCTCAGCCCCAAAATGGATGGATGTGTATTTCACA